TGGGGCTGCACAGCCACGTATTCCTGGTGTTGGGGTGTGGGGATGCTCTGCACCCAAAGGCCCCTCCAGGATCGGGGTGTGCAGCTGCCCTGCATCCCGACTCCACCAGGCAACAGGGTGCTTGGCCACCCTGCAGCTCATGTCTGCCGGTGCTGGGGTGCACGGCTGCACACCCAGCAACACCCCTTGGTGTCAGGACGCACAACCACTCCACGCTCACGGTGCCAGGTTGCACCCCTGACCACCATCCATGTTTTCCCCAGTGTTGGGGTGCGTGGCCGCACACACCAGCATTTTCCTGCCTTCACGATGCACAGCTACACATGGCCCCCAGCGAGTGGGTGCACCCCTAGGGTGTCAGGGCACATGTATTCATGCTTCTCTTAGGAGCTGGGATGTCTGTGAACGTGCATACAGCCCCCAGGCGTCAGGGCACACGCACAGACACGTCCAAGTTTTGGGGTGCAGACATTTGCATCCCCATATGTCTGATGTGCAAAGGGTCCAACCCATGCACACACCTCCTGGGTGGCAGGGGTGCACACACACATAGACAGATCTCGGGACACAGATGTGCACACATGTGTCTGGGATGTAAGAAGCAGACACACAGGCTCTCTGGGTGTTGGAGACAAGCTGGGATGGGTCTGCACACAGTTTTTCCTCACTTTCTTTGAAACAGGGAAAGCTGCTGTCTCAAGCCTCAGAATCTGCAGCAGCCCCTGTGCAAGACTAAAGGCATCACTGCAAGCAGCTTTTTGAAACAGGAATGGGGAGAGTTGTGTAAAGGATATGTTGTGAGATTTATGTGCATGATTTGGGAGGGGTTTTAGTTTCAAATAAACTTTGACATCTGTTTAGACCACAGGTCAAAAACTGTCAATTGCAGACAAGCTGATTTTCTTCCAGGCAGACACGGGTCTCTCCAAAATCTAAGTATTTGACCTGATATCTCCTACCCAGTTTATATTTTGTGCTAAAGCAGAAGCTAAGTGGGATAGAAGTGTTTTCACCTTTGTTTTTAATCTAAGCAAGCTATTCAGTGATATCCTCTTGTGTTCACAGCCCAATCTTTGTAGCAACAAAGCTGAGCCCATAGGGGGCATTTGTAGGATAAGAACTTGGGAGCAAAGTCAAGCAGTGCCTGGAAAGATTGCATGAAAGCTGTCTTTAATAAGTATTGTTCCCAGAAAATAAAAAATTGTGAGGTATGATGTTAATTCCATGTAGTGTGTCTCATTCTATGTATATATTCACATTTTCATTAGTGGTATTTGGGTTTTGGAACAATCTGGATCCGATATCTGTTTTACCTGGAACAGGTATTACAGTATTGTGGGGCATCATGTTAAGAAGTTAGTTAAAAGTAGATCTTTTGGATGGTGGATTAGTTCTGAACTAATCTGTGGTTGATGCTCACAACTGGCAGTCCAAAGACCGGAATTGATCCCTGTCCCTTCTATTCTGGAGCTAATCATGGGTACATACTGCCCACACAAGTGAACTTGTAATCAGTTCAGGGCTTCTTGGTTCGTGGCTGTCTAGAATGCCACCAGTAGTGTCAGACTTCTTTAAGGATATAGATTAAAAATAAGGCCCTAACATCTCAGATTGAGTGCACTGACTTATCTGTTTTAATAAACTTCAGCTGTTAACCATTCTTTGTTATAAGTAAAGTGTATTTTTAGATGGACAGTCATGATTTGTTAGTCATTGTTCATGAGGAACTTTACAATCGCTGGGTAAAAGATTTTATATAAATGTAAAGTATGACTCATTTCATTGTATTGAAAATTAAATATGCCTCCAGTTTTAGATGCAGTTTAACATTTAAGTCATGAGACTCTCCTAATAGCAAAGGAATTTGTTTTTCAGTATTATCCCCATAACCCCAGCTCACTCTTGCTGCTGATAAAGCTGGTTCACAAAAAAAGCGACGTGATTATTTATCTCTTTCACCTTCAAAGTTTGCTGCAAACAGTAATCCTCATAGAAGAGTGTTCTAAATATTAGTTTGCTAACTCCATTTATTAAAGGCGGGGGGAAATGGCGATAGTTTACAGATCTGAGTTCCAAAAATGAGCACTGCAGGACTGGGATTGACTTCTGGAACCCCATTTGCTGTCCTGTGAGCATTAGTGCTTACTTTAAGGGAGCTTCTTAAAACACCTCAGATTTATTAGGCAGGGTTTACCCCCTGTCGTCTGGGACAGCTTGTGTTCCTGTGGCACCTGATGGAGATGTGACAGCACAGCTGCAGTCACCTGTGCCTTGCCTCCTCCAGCGGAGGTCAGAGATGTGGCCACGGCAGGCAGCTGCGTACCCTCTGTTCTAGCAGCAGCCTTATCGTGGAATGCCCTTCCAAATGCCTGCATGCAGGAACAGCTGCTTAGCTGTCAGCACGGTGACGTGTTCCTGCGTTTGCCTAGGGCCCAGGAAGGCACCACTTTCAGTAAATACACCAAGGTATTTACCAGTTACTTCTTAACATTGGAGGTCATCTCAGCTGCAGTTGTTCTTATGGCTGTTGCTGTTTCTCTGCTGTGAAATACTTTTCCTTTCCTCCATCCTGCTTCCACAGGGTGAACCAGTTCATTATGTTATTTTCAGACATTGGGACTAGAGGACTGGTTGTTGAAAAACACAGCTAGTGTGAACTGCTTCTGTGTAGTACAGGCAGGCATGTTGATGAAGATATTTTTCCCAAAGGAAGTTGGGATTTTCTTTCTTTTTTTTTCCCTATTTATTTTTTTTTCCTTGAATGATTGTCACAAACTTTTGATATCTGGAAGACAGCTTCATAGCTGAAGACTGATAGCTATCTTCTGGATCTCCTAGTCAGTAATGAAGAGTGAAAAGTTGACTTCTGAGGCAGGAAAAGGTTTAAATTTCCAGCTGTGGTGCCACATTTTTAGTATGTCGGAGAAATATTTTAGTATTTCAGCAGAAACCCATATTCAAAAAGAGGCAAACTAAAGGAAGTACTTCTTAAGAGAATCAGTTAAATACCTCAGCTTTCTTGTCCTTCTGCACAATTTTTGGTGATTGAGGGGGTCTTCTGTCAGCTGGAAAAGAGAAAAATAATTCCTTTGACACATCATTTTAAAAAAGCACAGTTATCAGTTGTGATGTTTTGTGTACTCTGTGGTGTAGAGAGAAGTGGTATTATTTTGGAAGTATATTTGCAGGAACTGCATTAAGATTAGATTAAAAAAGGCAGCGAAATTCTTCTGTTTCAAAGAAAGGGAAATCGTGAATGTTGTACAAAGAATGTGGATCTGTACCCCTACACAGTACAGTTGCCAGAATTTGGATTTGGAATACTTGCAGGCTGTTTGTTTCCTGCCACTTGTAATTTTTCCCAAATTAGGCTTTCACTATGTTTTTTTTCTCTCAAAAGATGTGCTATTGAACTTCTCCTTTTTTTTAGAGCTATATTTAAGTAACATAGGAACATATGGCAGTTACTTTCCTATTTTTGCTCTACAATTTTTTCCTTATGCACGCTGTCTTTTTGCTCTTTTTCACTCTTGTCTGTGTACATCAGGACAGACCCAGCCTTCTTGAGCAAAGACACTGGATTCAAAAGAAGATAAATAGGCAATAAAAGCAGCCATCCACCCATTCCCTGCCACGTGCACGAAGAATAAAAGTGGACAGTGTGTGGTTAACTGTTCAGCTCTGTATCTAGTAAAATGGTTTGTGAGAGGGCAAATCTCTGGGGAAGAAACTGCCTTTACCTTGGTAGGAGTTGGCTCAGTGGAAAGTTTTAGTAACGGACGTATGTGTAACTGTGTGTTATGATACTGTTTGCATTAAGCTTGATTGTGCCTGTCTTCCCTGCGTTGTGGGCATTTTCAAGACACACTCAGTGACAGTATAATGTACTTGTTAATATGTAGGGGGCTGGTATCTTCAGCTAGCAGACCTCGTGAAGACAGTTGGTTAAAATCCCTATTTGTTCGCAAAGTCGATCCAAGGAAAGATGCTCACTCCAACCTCCTAGCCAAAAGAGAGACCAGCAGTCTGTATAAACTACAGAGTGAGTGACATTTTTATATTTCACATTACCATTTCTTTCTTCTGTTCCCGCATTTCTCACGTGATGTTGTTGTTTCAGTTCACAATGTAAAACCAGAATGTCTAGATGCCTACAACAAGCTCTGGTAAGTGTGCCTATTATGGTTTCACATCTTAGACATGTTGCTTTGATCACGAGCTGTTCTGAAAATTGACGAATATCATCATTATTTAGAGGAGGGGGTGGGAAAATTCTGCTTTTACCTTCAGGGTGTGGTGTTAAATAGATCGTATTATTCTTGGAGAGAGATGGCAAAAGATACTTTAAACAGTTCACCCCTTGCCTTCCCTTGTGGAGGTGTCATTTTCCTAAGCTGCCATTTAGGATGATGCCTTTTGTGACAATGTTGGTGACGCGTTGGAATGGCTCTCCCCCTTCCCTTAGTTGTCTTACAGTTGCTGGGTAGATCCTGGTATGTGAGCATGTCCCACTGCAGCTGCCACGTAGGAGCGTGTTGAGAGTGGCTGTTGTCTGAACACAGGAGAGGGAGAGATCACCGGTACCTGAAACTACGTGCCGGTATTAAATTGAAGTATAACTTAAAAACCCAGGGGTTGACTTTCTCCTTCTACACAAGCAATGTTACTGAGATCTGCTCGTAAAGAGCTGTGCAGATCTTTGGATGGGCTCTTGGCGTTGGGGTGATGTCCTCCAAAGGGAGCACTACTGTCACAGGCTTTCCAAAAAGTCACAGCATGATAAAATGTATGAATTAGTAACATTTTACATTTACTACTTTAAGGATGAAATTGAAGAAATATTAGTCCTGTTCTGCCTACATAATCACTGCTCTGGAGCCAGAACAACTGCCTTTTCGAGAACTGTATGTTTAATTTTGGAAATGTAGTGAGCCTCACACATTTCAAAACAGCAGTGCTCTCTCACTGGCATCAATCATCTTGTCAGTTAAATAAAACATTCTTAGCATGATGCTGCCCTACTGCAACCCATTTTTTAAGGGTGGTGTATTGGTGAGAACATCAGCTGGGCTGCAGGGTGAGGAAGAAGTTCACAACGCCCAGTTTGTGTCCTCAACCCTGTTACTGGTTGGCTGTATGGCCATGAGTCGGTCATCCAACATCTCTGTGCCTTCATGTATTCAGCTTTGAAATGGGGCTAGATAACCCAAAACTGTTTTCCTTGCTATACAAACACAGAAATCCACTAGAATAACATTCAATCATAAGGTATTTTTAGCTTTTTTGTTTGAAAAAATAAATACATAGAGAAGCATAATTAGCATTCAGCGAGCTTTCAGTTTAAAAGCTTAATATAAACATGTCCAATCATACAAGACAGGGAACCACTTCTCTGCGTTATCTCATGAACTACCTAAATGTTGAGCGAAAGCAGAGGCTTTGATTTTCAAGGAGAGAGACGATAGCAAAGAGAGAAACTGCTGACAGTGATCAGATGAAGTATGCGTGGTTAGACTTATTCTTTCCAAACCAAAGCAAATTAAAGTATTCAGGGGAGGAGAAAACTTGAGAATGGAGTAATAAAAAAACCTAAGCCTCTTTGAACTTTGCTCCTTCCTCTCCCTAAATTAATGAACAGGTTAATTCCTTATTCTGTATCAAATCAGAATAAGGATTAGTCATCACGTGTTAATAAAGAAATAATGTAATGGAGACAATTATGAGAGTACTTCATGAATCACGGTGGTTAAGGACCCCACCTGAGGAATTAGGAACAGTTATTTTTAAAAAGGAAAAAGATGGTGTTCATAAGGTATTCTGTGGGTGGTTTTTTCTATAATTTGCAATATTTTAGGGTTATTGTAGTAATTTAACATTCCTGCTTAAAGCTGCCTTTCTAGGATCTCGTTATGCTTTGCAAAAACAAAGTGAGAGTGAAACATCCTTGAAAACATCGTTGGAGAGTCACTCTATGATATTATTCACACTACGTAGTGAGAAATCTTGAGGTACAAATGGGTAATGAGATTTGCTCAAGGTTGTCTAGAAAGTCAGTGGCAGAATCAAGAGGAAAGCTCATATCTAATAACTCTCAGCCCAAGACCAACCTGCTTCCTATGATTTGATACTGTGCAGAGACTCATTGCCTGTGAGCCAAACTGAGTAAGAGGGGTAATTATTCAGGAAAAAGTACTAAAAGGCAAAATTCAAGCAGACTAATTGACTTACTCATCAAAGTACAGTTTAATGAAAGCTGTCTTAGTGGAGTCAGCCATCGGTAAAACTTCATTTCCTAGTGCTAATGTAGGCCGCTTTCAAAGTTTGAAAAAAAGTTAGAAATACTAGAAATAGTCAAACAGATATTTTGTGTTGGAGGTATTTTTAAGGCAGTTTCACCCTATGCTTTAATGGGTAAGTTGTCTCAAAACTAAGACCATTTCCTGAAATGGTAGAGAGCAGTAAGGCTGCATACTATGAAGTACAATCGTCGTTTGATCTATGAACGTACTTGGTTTGATTCCTTCAGCTCAACAGAATTAATAGCGTTGTAACTGGTACAGAAGACTGCCCTTTCCTATTTTTCTGTGCTCTGCCTCCCTTGATAAAGAAAAGCTTTCCCCTGAGCAAAGGGACTTTAGTAAACTAACTGCACCCATGTAGTCAGGCTGCATTTTCTGTAAGTAAGACATCCTGATACTTGTTTTCCTAATGTGTTGGATAACCTTGTAGGTGATAGACATAATTTATTGCATCAAAAGTATTCTACCATGCTGTGTATTTATCCTGCAGTCTAAGAAATGGTAACACTTACCTTAATTTTTCGTAGTGTTGTAGCTACCTTTCCCATGTATAGCAGATTTTTGTATTTCAGCTTTCTCTTTGGTAAAGCTTGTGAATTTTCATACCGTGATGATAAACGTGTGGTGATTTGTTATACATATCAACTGTAGCCTCCCTGAAGGAAATGCAACACAGTGTCTGTATTCCTTGTTTTCAAGTCAAGAGGTGCTGCCAAAGATTCATGAAGAAAAACACTACCCATGTGCACTGGTGGGGACTTGGAACACGTGGTACGGAGAGCAAGATCAGGCTGGTAGGAGATAGAAGTACAACAGACCGTAAAACCGTACAAGTGAAACGTGTGCTTGGCAGGTTTCTTCTCTCTAAATCCTCTCTGTTGACAGTAAACCTTGAGCAATGCATACAGTGAGGGGGTGTGTGCATCAGTTACCAGTAGCTGTATTAACATTTCCAGTGCTTGCTTTTTGTCTTGTTGAGTTTGACAGTAAAGCGTTAACTCCTAAAATTTGTCCTGTTGTTAATACACTTTGATGTTTTCCAGGTGGTAGATGAACAGTTTTGGGAAGTGCTTGTAAAATGTGGTCTTGTCATATTTTGTGGGCACAGATCGTGTTCCTGAATATTTTGGGTAAAGGCAAAGGCTTACAGAGACAGAGTTTATCTTGCATTGGCCAGTACAAAAGCTTTACTTAGACTTTCATACTGTACTTGCTGTAGGATAATGAAACGCAAATCATTCACGCCATCTGCAAAAATGATTGCATTGTAAACTCAGCAGTAAGCTCAGCCTTTACTGGAGGAAAGTGAAAATATTTCTGTTCATGTTCATATAAGGATACTGGCTAACTATGCAGGTCGAAATATATTGGACCTAGAAATTACTGAAGAGCTGCTACAGAGGTAGCTACAAAGAGTCTAGTGTAGAGAGAAAACCTGGAAGATCTCCTAGGCTCTGGGAAATGGAAGGAATGGGAAGCCACGAATACAGAGTGGTGTCCTGCTATTCGTTATGTAGTTTGTTTTGTGGCTCCATTGTTGGAGCTCGGCTAGTATCAATGTCACTGCTTCGTTACTGAAACATATACTCATGTGCACCTTAATTTTCCCTGCATTCCCAGTATATTGCAGTATTGACACTGAACAAATGCAAAGAAATAACAGTAAATAAACCAAACAGTGTCTGAGGAACAATTCTGAAAGTGGAAGGGAAATTGGGGAATGAAGACAGTTGAAATGAGGATATTTTAGCCAAGTCTCATTCATTGCTTTTGTGATGTATTAACACAGACTTGTCTGTAATTGCATCCACAGCCTGCCTTGAAAATGTTCCTGCAACAGCTCTAGCAGTGTACTAAAGCAGATTACGGGGGTTTGACTTGTGCAATCCTTGTGCCCAGGCTGTCTTAATATTGGGTGGATATATCAAATTTGCCCTGGGGATAAGAGAGGAGAAGCAGGCGTGCTGGATGAAGCTGCTGTCATAGTGAAGTGCCTTCCGTTAGTCTCCAGTTCGTTCTGGAAAAGGCACAGGACTGCTTTAGAGGAGAGAAAATAGCTTTTGTGACTCTTGAGGTGAAATATCGTTGCCTTGCTATAGTCAGTGCTTGCAAATAAATCTTGTTATGATTTATTAAAGGGATTTATTATGATTTATTAAAGAGAGAATGCTTTGGAAAAACTCAAATGTAGATACCTCTTCCAAAATTGTTTTTATGGGGAAAATCGTAGCAAATGTAACAAGTCTAGCATGTTCAGATATCTTTTGCTTTTTTTAATGTAATGTTTACCTCAAAAGTAACATTTGCATCATTTTTCATGTGCTACAGAAAGTGTGTTGCTCTTTGTGCTTGAGTAATTTACTGAACTGAAAAGTCTACCCCTCTTATTGCTCTTAGATGAAATTGATATAAACCATGGGGTTTTTTAAATTTAATCTCAATTTCAACTACAGTCATCTAAAGTCATCACAACTTACTAGTGTGGCAACAAAAAGTCTTTTCAGAAATTTCCCTGTTATCTTCAGAGTAGATTGCAAAATTTTCCAAGAGAACCCTTTTCAAAAAGCAGATGATTCCATTATTCTTAAAATGTTCAAATGTCTAGTGCTTTCTTTAATGAAAATCAATTTTTAAACCTGTTACCTGTTTTCTATTTTTTGTGCAATTCTGTAGTATGAAGAGCATTTTATACTGTGATATTCCATAAGATTTAGCCCTGGTCTGTGACATCCCTGAAAAAGCTTCCTTTTTTCTGTTTCAGTTCATCTGTGGAGGTATGAGGGAGGCTATCCAGCTCTCAATGAGGTCATGAGTAAACTCCGTCAAAATAAGGTAAAATGCATTAATTTTGTTAGAATTGGTTATTTAACTCACAAGAGAACAAAGAATAGTCAAAGCAAAAACTGCACATTTGGATACCCGCTTTTACTTCAGTATCTCACCTCTTCCTGTACAAACTTAGAAACCTCTTTGGAACAGAGTTTTTTCTCATACTCAGAAATATTGAGGTTTAATCCCTGAATACTGGATGAAACACTTAGTGCCACGTAAACGTGCCACTTGAGGTTTTCAAATATGCCAGGGGAATTTAGGCGTTTTTACAATGTAAAGGATTTCAGTGTCCCAAAACTCCAAGATGTCATTAAAAAAAAAAAATCCAAGCCACCGTATGGTACACTGCTTCTTGTTGTTGAAACATAATACCCAGTTTGACAGTGACCACGTTGTTTTTAGGAATTCACAGAGTTCCGCAAAGAAAGAGGTAACATGCTTCTCTCGCGCAAGAACCAGTTACTGTTGGAGTTTAGTTTCTGGAATGAACCTGTTCCCAGAGAGGGGCCTAATATTTATGAACTGAGATCCTATCAACTTAGAGTAAGTTTAAATTTTTCTTTTTGTTTTTTAAGCTCTATGCTGTTGTAAAATGTTCAAAGCATGTTTATACCGTGTAGATGGAAAACAGACTTCATCTTAAAAATCTGTTTGTTATCAAAGCTGATGTCTGAGTCATTGTTGCTCTCAAAGTGTGGGGTCCAAAATGAAGGCAGGCTCCGACAAGATACTAATATCTGCAGGGCTGAAAACTGTCTTTTCATTTGAAGGAAACTTCAGGCAAATGACTAAGAAGTAATGCAGTAAGTAAACAGAGTAATTACAGATGATTAGAGTATGCTGATCACTTGAAGGAAGTGATTTTGTTAATACATAGTGTTTCACTGTTGTGAAAACTGTCCAAGTATTCTAACTTTCTTTAAACTACAGCTTTAACAGTCTGTTTTGTTTTTGTAGCCTGGAACCATGATTGAGTGGGGAAATTACTGGTAAGTGTTGCTTTAGCACTTGCGTTCTCCTGTTTGCGAGGTGCATGTTTAAAAATCATGAAGTGGAGGGGGCAGAACGGTACCAAAGCATTTCAGCCACCCAGTTAATGGCCTGCTTCTCTACTTAGGCAACTTGTAAGATAGTTCTTTGACTCTTAATTTCATCTTTGAGGAAGGAAAGAGGAATTCCGTGTGCAGACAACATTGTGGGCTCTGTGGTTTGGCTTTCCTTCAGATAACCCTTTTAGTTTGCTGTAATAGAGCAGAAACCAGCTATTTTCAGCAGAAAGTACTGCTTAGTGAAGGGTGGCGGTTCGCTCCTTGAGACTATGTTGATCTTTCACGACTTTCACAAGATCACTAGAAGCTGACATACTGTTTGTTTAAATGGACTAAACCTTGGCTTTTTTAATCTTTAAAAGCCAAGTTGCTTCTTGAAAAGCTGTTGAGCAGCACATTTATATTTTAATATATAGGTTAAAAGCATTTGAGAGTCTTCTGTTGAGTATATGCTGCTGATTTTGTCTTTTACTTAAAACAAGTGTCAGTTTCTTTAATTTACATTCGCTGTCCTTGCAATTCTAATGGTTGATAGTAAAACAATTTGGAGTGCTTTCAATTATTTTGACAGAGGTGAGGACTTGGATTTCTAGACAAGTCATTGTCACTGATCACAGGAATTTGAATAAAGTAAATTGAATTTAGAATTTTTATAAAATAGGCGTATCTATAGTGGTAGCCAGTCTGTTTTAGAAGATACAACAGATTTATAGCTAAGAGAAATACTGATCTTATTTACACAGCAAGTCATGGAGTGTTGCTTAGGACAGCTGCATAGCAAAGGTCTATGTGAATAAACAAGTTGCATTCCACTTCCACAAAACCTGTAGTAAATGAGTGGCAAAGACGATAATGACTAAAACTCAAGGATTTCATTTTAGAGGAACCTGCTATAAAAATGCCTGCCTGTCTACACTGTTCCAGCAATTATCTTTATACTGAATCTAGTGCTGAAGAATGATTAATGCACAGCCTAGTGAAACTGTAGGCCTCCAATTTTAACTCATTCTAACGAGAGATATAGGTATATTGTAATTACTTAGTGCTGCAAACCAGTGTATTGCAGATTTTTTTCTTATTTTTAATGGCCAGAGTGTACTGCAAATGCTGTTTAACAGTTCGGCTTCCATTCAACTGTTTTCCTTTCAATTATCACTGATTTCCTACCCAGATCTGCTGTTTTTAATAGCTGCTTTGCTCTTCTGTAGGGCTCGTGCCATTCGTTTTCGACAGGATAATAATGAAGCAGTTGGAGGATTTTTCTCACAAATTGGACAGCTATATATGGTTCATCACCTTTGGGGTAAACTTGTGTTCTCTGCTTTTTTCTCACTGAATCAGCCCCTAACAGACTGTTGAGTTTGCCCAGGAGACAAGGCTTTTGCAGAAGGCAAAGGAATGTCTCAAAAGGGTTTTTTTGTTTTACATCAATAGCGTTGATTTACTCAATTTGTGTGCAGGTTCTTCCAACAAGCAAGCAGAAGTGAACATTTCATGGATTGTTCTGTTTCCATCAACAGTTTCTCATGGCCCTTTCTTATTAGGGACTACTTGTTTGTTTTCAATAGCATGAGCAAGATAAGCGGAGTCCTGCCGTCCCTTTTCTCCGTCCCCACTCATGCAGAAGTCAGGTTTTTACAGTTTATAGTTTCAAGCACCACATGTACCACACCTACAAAAAGGAGAGTCACGCATTTATTTATGTTACCACATCGTGGTGTTCTGGTTTTCTCTGTATGTTAGTCTCCACGAAGGCTCAGCTGCTTTTTACATGTTAGGATTGTTTCAACTTGAAGAAACTTACTCTAATATTTCTTTTAGAAGACACACAGTATTAGCTTCATATCTCAGCAATTCAGAATATTATATTCCAGCATTAGAAATCTGACATTGCTCTTGCAGAACTGTCCTCCCTTGCATTGTCTGTCTTACCTGGGTCTAAGACATTCTCCCTCTTCCCCAGTTCCTTCTGTTTGCGTTGCTTTGGGAGCTTTTCCTTTTTATGGAGAAAAACTTCTGGCTCTTTTCCTTCCCAGTGTTCGCAGCCTCCTCATTACGCACTAGAATACTTGTAAGGCAGCTGTTCATGTGTAGAAGGACAAGGAGTTAGTTCTAAGCTATGTGCTTGTTTTCCCAGCTTACAAAGATCTCCAAACGAGAGAAGATATAAGGAACGCTGCGTGGCATAAACCTGGCTGGGATGAACTAGTCTATTACACAGGTAACCTATTAACTTCCCTGGAATGCTGGGGGTAGACTTTGGGGCATGCCATCATTTTTGTTCTTCAGTACGTTGCACAGTGATAAAAAGTTCTGCACCTCCGGGGGGTGTGTGTGCACCTGCGTGTCAGTTTTTCCACTGTAAGGGAAAGGAAGGATGTTTCGCTAACAAAGGCAATTTTGCAATTGGTTGTACAAACTTGGAAAAGTTGCCTAATTGCTAAATAATTGCTACGTGAATAGTGAATTTTGATACAGGCATCTCTTCTGTAGACCAGATTTGTGTAAATGCTTACATTTGTGTCCAAAAGTTTAGGGGGCCAAGTGACATTTATATTAAACTGTTACCTCTAGTATTTCATGAAATGCGGGAGCCTTGTTAAATGCGTTCCTCTGAAAAGGGAATTTAGCCTTTGGAACTAGGAGCCAGGAGATCTTTGAGATCAAAGAGAGCTTTTATAACAAAACACAGAAGTATGCTAAGCATGTCAGATTTTGATTCCATAGGGTAAATTTCAAAGGAGGTATACCAGAAAAATGTAAGATCATTTTCATCATGGTGAACAGGAATAGAAATATTTGTCTTCAAAGGAGCAGACAGATTATATTAAAAAATCACTTGTTCTCAAAACTACTGTGCGTCAGTTATGGGAATGTTGGTGCTTGCTGATGACCTTGCATGCACCAGCTGGGAGAGTAATTTGAGGACAATAATATCTGTTCAAACTGCATGTGCAGAGCTGCTGCTGATCTGTTAGTGAAATTAAACCCTGTCTCAATTTTTTTCAGTGCCCCTTATTCAGGAAATGGAGTCCAGAATCATGATACCGTTGAAGATTTCTCCGCTTCAGTAAAGTCACTGGTTTACTTGTGCCTACGTAAATAAAGTGACAAGTGTTTGTCTTAAATTAATTTATGGTATACATTGTATATCATAGTCTGAAATATAAAAGTACTGTATCGAGCTTATAAAAGAGACCTCTTTTCTTCAGAATTTAATGACCTTTTGCTCTTAGGATTCTACCAGGAAAAACAGAAATGTAGGACTGTAATTAAAAGGTTGCTTCATTGAAAACAAGTACGAAGACATATCCGAGTTCCTCTGCAAGCCAGCTCCTCAGGTTCAGTATGGCACACAGTGTGTAATATCTTCTGCTACGTAGACAATGCCCAGTGTTCGGTGACAGCAACAGAACGGAGCGTTACAGTTGCTGTGGCCTTTGTGCAGCGTTACAGTGACTGCAGATGGTACAAACAGACGTGGGAGTTGTGAAGTTAGAAGCTCGGAAGCCCTCGGGCAGCTCCGAAATACACCTAGCTGTTCGAGCAGGCCTGAAGTCAGTGAAGTAGCTCTTAATTTACAAATAGGCAGTCATTAATTGGGGATGATGCTGTTTGTCAGGCGATAGCTTACGGACAGACAGTAGGGCATGCTGTTTAGCGAGGACTCTGAAGCCTGTTGAAGCTTAATCGCACATTTGCCTAATTCTGTGAAGTGTGACCCGCGGTTTTTGCAGAGGTACTGACAAGACGTGGTTGTCTGGAGGTTCTGCAGGGAATCAAGTTCAGTTAAATACATTTATCCCTACAAATAACTTGGAAGTCTAGGAAAAGGGGTTTAATTTAATAAGCGATCATGACTTCAGACATATGCGTGGTCGAGTGTTTTCCTCACTGTACAGTAGGTGCTTAGGAGTTGATGTGTGAAACTGGCGCATGTTGAGTCAGTAGGATTGGCGTAAAGCGGCGCACCCTTATGTCCAGTTCTATTTTGGTTTCACTTTTAGACTAGACTATATCAACACTTTTGGTGTCTGCAATGATGTGAACATCCTGTAAGTGAAAATAATATTCTGTCTTTCAAGTGGCGACAAGAATCAGTGTAACATACGGAATGTACAAATCAGTTACTGAATGTCCAGTTTGTAATTTCAATGAGTTTTCAGGAAGAACATATCAGTCAATAAAATCCTTTTAATTTTCACATTTTACTGGCACCTTCTATGTATTGCACCACCCGTGTTTTCTCTCATCTTGCAGTGTTTTACTATGGAAAATTTGAGTAATTGCATAGAATATTTCAGCTTAGTTAGCCAGTACCACTTCTCTGTGTCAGGGACACCATTCCCCAGTATTCTGCTCTCCTCCTCCAAAATGAATTTACAATATCTCCGTTACATCCCATTTTGCTGAGTGTTCTAGGGGTCATAAGTGCTGCGGTGATAAATACAGAATACTTTTCCTTTCCATTTTTCTTCACAAATTATGCTTAATTTTTCAGGTCTGAGATCTTCTTTTCTTCACATGCAAAATCCACTGCACTCCTGCCTTCGCTTGAATTTCATCTTGAACAAAGTCAGTCTGATTCTTTGTGAATTTTCCCTATTGTCAACTGATTATGGGACTTTACTGAGTAAAATCCTGTACTGTATTAGCTTGAAGTTCTCAGCTTGGCTTACTCAGTGAGCCAGTGCATCATCTCAGCTGTTCTTCTTGCCCATCAGTCACGAGCAGTTCTGCCAGCTAGGGGTGTCATTTTTCCAAACTTTTGGGACTACTGTTTTGCTGCAAAAGGAAAAAAAAAAGGATAGTTAATACCAGGTTCTAGTCCTTGTTATTCCTCCCAAGTATCCTCCCATATGTCTTATTCCTGGAGAGTTGTCCTCGTAACTCAGCCCCCTTGACCAGCGATCTCACTGGGAGACAAAAGGTGAAAACCATTTTTGGAGTTACAGGGTTTTGTGGGTTCTGATGTAATCTGTGTTTCTGACCTTCAGCCGGGAGCACTAGGAATTAAATTCAGTCAGGCAGAGCTCTTGTTTAAGGACCATCAAGTTTTGCAAGAGTAAGAAATCTAAGAAACAACTGAATGTTCTGCGGGGTGACATCACACGGCACGAGTCTCTTCAGTCTTTACACCCAACCTAAGATCTGAATTCCCACCAGTGGTGGTGTGATGTATGATGAATGTGTCTCCTGTCATTCTGAGCTTCAAACTCGTGCTCTGGCAGTCACCAGAGAGAGATTAGTTCCTGTTATTTTAGTTACAGATAACTGTGTAAACTCACCAAACATAATACAGCCGATAAATAAGTAATGCCCATCATTTCTTGCTTCTCTTTGCCTGAGCCCTTTCTGAAGTTGGTTTTCCCCTGTTGTGAACGCTGTTGTGATTTTCCCTCTTCTTTCATGGCCAAGTCTGCCTTCTTCCTTCGACTAGCAGCACTTCAGCATTTCTTAGAGCAGAATTTGTAGAGTTCAGAACTGAAGTCACTTTCCAGTGGTTGGAAAGTGGGGAACGATGCCTGGAAGGGTCTCTGGTAATGATCAGTTCTTGTTCCACCATAATGAAGACGCAATTAAAACTCTAATTTAGTTGTCCTGTCGTCTTCCTAGAAAAGACTGCAACCTGTTCTTTTAAGTCCCCTCCTGCAAATTGAATACGTAACGTAAAGCAATTCTGCCTCCCTGAATAATGGCATTAAAATAAAAGGCTTTCTGTGGAGCCCTGTGCCTCCTAGTCAGGAGACCCGCCTGAAGACAAGATACTACTTGCCTGACATGTGCTACTCCAGATTTTGCTCTGCTGTGGTGGGGTACGTTCAGGTAAATCGGTAGTTGGCTGTAACATTGAAACTTCCCTCACGCTGCTTTATTCCCTCCTATTTTTTCCCAGTATTTTGCAGACAAAAGAGCCTAAGTAATCCTTTGGGTACCTCCTGGACTAGAGGTCAGGCTTGATATTTGCCCAGTGGAAGGGGGGTGGTGTTTTTTTCAAACCAGTCAGACCTAAAGAGCTCTTGTGAAATCGGTGGCACGACGCCACGTTTCCATAGCGCTCAGACTGGCAGAAGACACCGCTGTGAATGTTAACATCTCCGCGGCGCGGAGCCTCCTGCGCCGTCTCCTGACTGCGGCAGTAGGGAAATTACAGATACTCGAAGCGAAGTGTGTCACAGGGTTTGTAGATCAGGGCCCGTAGCTACAGCTGATTAGCTGGATGTTAGGTTATTTTTTTATTTTTTTTTAGTGGCCTTTTAATTCGAAAGGAAGCTGCAGCAAACAAACGCTTCTGCTTCATAACTGTAGGGCTGCCGAGGAGCACGCTGAAAGGGAGCAGAGTTTATACTTGTGCTCCTCATGCAGTCTTGGCTAAACAAAAGCATGATTGTACATGAGCTGCCCTCGGAGCTGGCTGGGATTTTTCTCAGGAAGAATTTAAAAGAGATCATCTCTAATACTCCCAGAAGAGCTCTGGTGAGCAGCCTGCCAACTATTGTCTGTCTCGGCTTTTGTGAAGTTTTTAAAACCCCATATAGAGCTCTTCAGTATGGCTGTTTATATGGCTGCCTTTCTCCAAAAAGCCATCAGGAGTTTGTTTCCGGATTTGTTTTCTTCTAACCCATCTATTTCTCTAGTATTTAAATGCTGTTGTAACTTCAAGCAATTGCTGCCTCATGTTTTTTTGCCAAAAACATTAGATGGCATCAGTGAGAGCTGCCATTCATCCCTCTGGGACTTTGCTAACGCCTCTTTCCCCTTTATCCTTTCTGATGGTGTCGCAGAATAGACAGAACCAGTATTTATTTTAATTGTTGGTGATGCTTAAACAACTGGACAGGAGCTCTCTCACTGCACCTTGATTTAATCTTAGTGAATTAAGGAAATGTAGTGCAAGTTGTGAAAACCTGTGATTGTTTTGTGGAGACAGTGTGAGATTTTGGAAAGTAAGCACATCGCTTGTTTCTCCTCCTATCTCTGAAATCCGGGGTGGGATGAAAGACAGTTAGCGCTGTCAGCCTCATCTTCAGTTTCCAGAAAAATACCGGGGCTGTTGGTGAGCACTCAGAAGATAAGAGCCTGCAGAGGTTTTTTTTTTTCCCCAGGGCAAATCATGTCCTATCTACCTGTCTTTCTGCTGTCATGGTATTATGTGGAGGAAGAAAGTGGAAGATGTATTGTGGAAGGAGGATGAAGATACATTTTTAACTTTGGAAAAGTGAAATTTGGTTAACTTTGGTAAAGCTTTTCACATGATCGGAGGGGAGATTCTTTTAAGTCAGGGAAATAGAAGTACTGTGATGTGTCAGCAAGGCTGGTTAAAAAGGCACACGCAGAAGAGTTGTCAGGAACTTGCTGACAAAGAGGCAGCATTTATCAAGGGTGGTCTGTAGAAGCACCCCCTTGGATCAGGCACTGCAGCCACAACAGACAAATCCTTAAGAAACTAGGATTCCTTAGCTAAAGCTCAGAAAAGTACTTACTTAGAACAGGGGAGACTAATTTCTAGCACAGAACAGTTTAAGGGTCATTGATCCACACCTGAGGAAGCAACTAGATACATGTCACAGTGTTTTCTTCATCCGTAGACCTTTTTTTTTTTAAAGGCTGATGAGTTCGCTTCCATCCAGTTATAGGTTGATGGCAGTGGGTTGTTAAATAAATAAAACAGTTAAGTAAACAGTGTGACCATTTTACAAACCCACCATTTTGGAGTTTAAAGTATTTTAATAAGGTGTGGGAACCGCTATAGCACTCGGGTTAAAATAAGCCTCCTGGACACTGATGACTATTGCATGTATCTCAGGTTTGCATGCGTCTCCCGTCTGTCAGACTGCTGGTTGAGTAGCAGTGGTGTTGAGTGACAGATGACAGGTTCTCCTGTAGCTATATTTTAATGAAATCAGAGACACTTAGTAATGTTTCCTACCTATCGCTTCACTGTTTAACCTTGTTCTGAGATTCTTTGGAATGGAAAGTGCTTACCATGCTGTTTACCTTTTAGACTATATTATTGTGGTGGTGGTACTATTATCATTATTATCATTATTGATTAGACAAACTTTGTTTGTGGCCCGCTTCTTCTTTTGCTTCACAAAATAAGTAGCAGTATTAGCTTCAATGATTCTGAAACAATAGATTTGCAGTATTGACCAGGGGCCAATCCATTGAGGTATTTTTCACTTACTGGTAATTTCCAACCTTTGATCTTCACTTGTGAGGGAATAGTCAGCTGACTTCTTCCACCTTGGAAACGATGTCTAAAACTCACCATTTCCATTACAAAGCATTTGAGTAGAGTGGTGCCACTTGCAACACGAGTTTCAGGTCAGAGAAGAAGGTACCCAACACCCAGAATCATTAAAAAATCCAGAACACAACTTTGCAAACAAATATATGTTTAATTGCATCGTATAACAGATTTATAGTTGTTAAATATATTATTTTA